TTACCTTTGTAGCTGGTTGTGGTATGTAATACAGCATGTTTGCTTCATGTTTTAACATTCCATGGTTAAGGATTTTACAAGTATTGAGGTGTTTTAAAGCATTTTGAAATCCTTTCTTTTCACACATTTTTCCCCTGGAATTTATGAAAATAATTTTATTATAAGTGAAAATAGCTGTATAAATAAAAGATATCAACTTATTCTAATTTCATTAGAAGTGCTTCGTGTCAAAGTACTCTTGAGCTATTTCTGCTTGTGGTTTGGCCCCTTCATTGGCCCAGGGATGCCTGATGGTGAACACTTCCACCAAATGCCTCACAGCTCTCCCTCTGCAAGCACCCTCAAAAAGACTGAGAATTAGAGGCAGTTCCTACATCAAGCCCCACAGAACCTACCCTTCCTCTACCTTCGTTCTTCTCTATAGCACCTCCTGCTTTCATTTACTCTTCTTAGAGATCCAGACCTTCCCCTTTATCCTCCTTTTCATTATAAAATGGGCAGAATAAAAAACAGCCATTTGTACTTTGAAACATTTTCATGAAGTTTGTTACCTCTACCAGTGGATTTTTAATCCTATGGTAGTGGAATAAAAGATTTGACCTCATCCAGCAAATCTAATGGATAAAATGCTTTAACTCTGCTAAATGAATTTCAGTCACAAAGAAAGAAACAGAAGTAATCTTTGGTGGGTTAAATAGATTGGGCAACAGTGTTTACCCTGAAATCATGGTATGCCCAAGTTAATCCTGAGTGTAAACCCGTAGTCATTTTTGGTGTTCGTGGGAGTTGGTGGAAAGGGGCTCTGTAATCTCCCATGTGATCTCCCTTGCTCCTCTGGAGAGAAAGTCTAGTGGTCTGGGGGAATGCAAAGATTATTGAATCAGATGAAGATTGTATTTTTTCCTCCGTGTACTTGCTCTTTGTCCTTGGCAGGTTACCTAAACTTTCTCTCCCAGCGTGGATTTCCTTGCATATAAACTGGAACTCCTAATCGCTGCCACTCAAGTGGTTATAGAGAGATTGCCTGTTACAGGTTTACTGATCTCTAAGTCCTCATTTTCCCACCTCCTCAGGGTCAGTGCTTTCCATGTTAGCAACTTCTGCAAATATGAGGGGAGCACACAGCTTTGCCACTTGTGCATTAGTGATTGTGCCACGGTTTTATAACTGGGGTTTAAAAAGTGATACATGCTCAATTAAGATAATTTTTAGGAAATGCAGAAAACAAGGCTGAAATCATTTATAGTCTCACAACTTAAAGCAACTCAACTCTTTGCATATTTCTATGCAGACCTTTATTATTATTTTTTTCCATTTTTATAATTATCTTGCAAATGTGAATTTTGTATCTTTCTTATAAGATAAGCTTTTACTCATATTCTCATATCGTGACCAATTGTGACATATTATCCTGTTATTTCATTACTTTTAAACATTCAAGCTGTTTGCTACTTTTTACTAATATCACATTAACTATCCTTGTTCATTAACTAGCTTTTTTGTGTTTGATGTATTTCCTTATTAAACATCCTGAGAAGCAGAATTTGCTAAGTTAAGGAGTAGGAATGTTTTAAGGCTATTTGTTACTGTTATTTGTTATTAAATGTTTGTTTTATATAGCATAGAATACAAAGTGTTGGGTGTAAAAATTGAGTTTACCTTAGCTTTTGTCTTCTAGCAATTTTTAGCTTAGTGGGGAAAATGATATAATTATGTAAAAAGTTATATAACCTTGGGAAAAATTAGCAGTTATTTCCAGATGTCAGTGGAGGAGGTATTATTAGACAATAGGATGGAAATGTACGTATGTATGCCATAGAAATTAAAATAGGAACAGGATTGTCCACTACATGCTTGGTTTTATTTTGCACATCACAGCAACCTTTTATGGTTGGTGGGGTCCCTATGTTATAAGAATGGAAACCAAAGCCAAGAGACAGATGGTCACTCAGATAGTAACTGGTAAATCTAGGATTCAAAAATCTGATTCTAAATCCAGTGTGACCAGCTAAGGACTTTTTGGCTTTTGTGGCAGTTTCAGCCTTTTAGAGACCTTTTTGATGATCATATTCTTGACCACAGTCTGGATTGGGCCTTTTTTTTTTTTTCTTTTTCATGTGTGATATGGAGTAAATGGGATTTTATTATCATAATACACTCTTGGGCAAGTCAGTTTTTAGATGTCTCTGATGAATTGCCCTTTGGAGTAAAGATACGGTGTGGTTAGAGTGTGCCTTCAGAGAATCCAGCCCACGGGAAGCAACTTTGAGTTTATGACTTCGCCCTACCAAGAATGTGCATATATGGCGATATATGCACATATATGGGGAACACTTAAGTCTGGTTTAAAATACAGAGCACTTATAGTTTTACATTTTTAATGGTAATCATGTTTTTAAGTATTTTGGGGATTTTGTTTTGTTTTAGATTATTTTTATTAGAAGTAAGCCCCTAACATTTTGGATTCCTTTGTCTTTCTCCCAATTTTTTATTATTTTATAGAAATCTTCTTCCTATTACTCATGTGTGTATAGAAGAAGGAGAAAAGCCCATGGTGATATTGCCTTACATGAATTGGGGGAATCTTAAATTGTTTTTACGGCAGTGCAAGTTAGTAGAGGCCAATAATCCACAGGTGAGAAAAATTTGCCCAAATACCAATTATTTACCAGTAGTTTCTGATAATGTCTTTGAAAGTAGATATTAACGTTCTTGAATATAAACTGTTTAAAGGCCTGCAAAAAAGAACCTCAAATGAACCACAAGATATTTATAACCTGTTGGTTTAAAGGAAAATGTTGGCTTATGTTCC